ATGCCGAGCCAACACTCTTGTAAAGCAGGGTCCCCCTCCACCCCCTTGCCCACCGCCACAAAATGCACCACGGACTGTTAACTATGACACTAAAATAAAACAGTGTGTATTCAATACTGACCGTTTTGCTGTTTTTCAAATTTATTTGTGTAAAACAAAAATAATCGATCGTTATGCTATACTGAATTTTACTAAACTTATAAAACGGAGAAACCGTATTGATATTAATACCGTTTGTCGTTTTATAAAACTGTAAAACGAGGAAACGGTCAATGGTTCGTTTACTGTTTTTGTTTTCGAGGAAATCCAAAACCGTAAAACGAAATAACGGTATGTCCCGGGATTTATTTGACACTCTGGAATGCTTTGTACACTTCGGATGAACACAATACAAATATATATTGAGTCATAAGGAAGAGCAAGTCAGCCACAGCCAGATTGGATAAGTAGATGTTGATGATTGTACTCATTGACTTCACTCGAATGCCTGTGAAGAGAAAGACCAAGTTTAAGAGGAGGCCGATTGGTGCATTGATTTCAGTACTTAACCATAGTATTTGTTAATTTCTTTTGTGAGTCTTGATAAAGTTCTCAAGGTGCTTTTCAACTTCATCGTTCTCCATATCCAACATTTTATTCAGATGTAGCAAAGAGTGTTCTGTCCTAGTCAAGATCACTCCAGTTTTATACTAGCAGCGAATATAAGACCTGGAGCAATGTGTAGTTGAAATAAAAAGCTTCTGCATTTTTTCCCCTGAGAGTTTTTTTATCTTGAAGATTTGTAAGGATTAGTTCTTTGTTCCTTGTTTTGAATGCATACTAAACCAAAGTAGACAATAGAGTTTCACAGTTGACTTTGGCATAGATGTGCTTCAGAATAACTTTTTATTTTCTCTTCAAGACTTTTTTTACATGTACATTGTGTAATCCGTCGTAAAGGTTTTGCTCATATCTAGGTTACTTAAGAAAAAGTGAAATGGCACTCTGTACTTTTTACAGAGTTTTACAGCTTATAAAAGATCACAGACATAACGTAACGCTTGCATTATCTATAACTGAATAAAATTAGATGCAGATCAAAAAATGACACAAAATCTTTCAGGTCGTTCACTACATTTTGCTTACAACATATTTATTTATATCTCACATATAAAAACTTGACACAAGCTTTAGATTTGGTGTTTGGATAATCAAGAAAGACATTTAAAATACAGATACAAATAGTCACTGCATCAACAAAGATTTGAAACCATGGAATTCCTACACTCTCTTGCTTGAAATTGAAAGTGTACTTAGACTTCTGCTATCAAATGTTATACTAAGAAATTACCCATGAACTTTTCTTTTTGTTCTTGGGCCAAACTGATGACCAGCTTTGCCAACAGATTGGCTCCCGTCCGTACAATATTGATACTGATTGTGGGGGGGGGGGGGGGGGGACCAGCCTATCCAGCAAGAACAGAAATAATGTTTGGCAGCCAATAATTTGGAATTGTAAAGTAATAATTCAATAACTAAACGTGAGCTTTTTTGTGTTTGGTGTTTCATTCAAAAGTGAATAACTTTTGTATTGCTTGAAAAATAGCAGATTGGTAAAGAAATCTGTTTTTCGGGATGAAACTCGAAAATAGCACGGAACTTTAAGTAAATTTAGTACTTCATCCGGCATTTGTTGAGTAAAACTGTTATGTGGACAGTTTTCCTTGTTTTTTTCCCTTAGAAGGTACAGCATTAAAGGTTGCATGTCTGTGTAGAGTGTGTGTGCGATTCACAGTTTCAGATGATTCTTATTTTATCTGATAAACTGTCTAAGTTGAACACATTACCCTCATTGTTTCAAGCTTAATCTTTAAACTGTAGTTAGGAGAATGGTTGTATGTAGAAAGATGACAAGTTCCACACACAATCCATTACTCTTTGGAGATACGGTGGACACAATACGAAGGCGCTATTTGGTTTGGGTCTAGTCTTTTGCATAAGTTACCCCAATATACCCAAATCAAATAACACCCTTGTATTGTGTCTGCCATATATCGCAAAAGGCTTATAGCAGTTGAGCTATTCACTTTTTCCAAAATTTGTTAAGACTCTGGAATACTGAATGTGCTTTTCACATCTTTTTCCAATCTACAGGTTAAACAACATGGTGACTCCACTGTGGAACCAGCCGTATGAGGACCAGCTATCCACCAAACAGACCAACACCAGGGAGTTTCTGAGGAATTTATCCAAGATGCTGCAACGGAACATTGGGGGAGATGTCTCCCTGGCTGAAGCAACAAAGGTGAGCTACTCACCAAAGACACAGGATGGTTGTGGGCCAGAATGGAAATGTGATCTTCGTTGACAAAAAACTTTCAAAACACAGTTTTCTGGCAAGTGGACTTACATGTACAGCTGCCCTGAAATTTCTTTAAAAGTTCAGAAAATGATGCCTCATTTTTCTTGAGAATCAGTTAAAACTCAGCAAAGTTTTAGCCAATTTCTGAAATAAACTTCCTTTCCACACACAAAAGTCCCAAAGATTAAAAGGGGGAGGGGGGAGTTGGTTAAAAAAAAATGTTTAAAAACAAAAAACAAAAAAATGAACACAAAACCAAAACTTGGGTGGGATGTGAACCCATGACCTCCTGCTTACTAGTGCAGACATCTTAACAACTCGACAGCAGAGCTTACCAAGATTGGTCAGCCAGTTTGAATCTTGTGCATATAATAGCTGTGGTTACCACAAGAAGAAATTCACAAGCCTGTTGGAGTGGGATTCAAACCCACAACCTCGTGTTTAATAGTGCACTCTTCATTTCATTGGCAGGAAGAGCCACAGTGGGATAGCATTCAACCTGGATTTCTTGTTAGATAAACTATGTGAATCTTTTGTGGGGTAAATATTCCTGACATGGGAGATGTCTGATTTGTTCCTTTCATTTTCATTGTTTGTTTGCACACTCACAGCCAGTATTAGAGAGTTATCGCAACAAGTGTGAGTTTACCATCAGCAAGAGTGTAGATGGCATTGGTGAGTGAAACTGGCATTTATTTTTAGTTATCCAACCTCTTCATTTTTTTGTGTGTATGCGCTCCGTTCACAAGCACCCCCTCGCCTGGATATCAAGTGTGCACACATGTACTTAATGCACCTGTTATGAAAGCTGAACAGAAAGTTCCAGGATTTTTTCTCAGATATTCCCCTAATTTTCTTGTCAGGTCTTCATGAAACTTGGCCCTGGATAAATTGTGCAATAGTTTCAGTATCATGTCTTCTTATTTTCATTGACAGATAACACTGTTGGTTTCCGGCTTGGCGCTTACAAAGGTAAGTATTTCCTCTGAAGTTCCATTTTGGTAAAAGACGTAGATCAGCTTTCATGTTTGATTGGATCAGCTGTTGAGGGGCGTGGCCCATGAGGGGCGTGGCCCATTAGTAGCTAATGCTGATCAATTCCAACCAATCAGAATGCAACACACAGAAAGATTGACAGGTGTACATATTGTGCATTGTCTATTATGTCTGTCAGGAATTAATTATTGGAAAGAAAGAAACAAGCCACAAAAGACTTAAACCCTTGTCATCCCCTTTGCTGACCAATATGTTGGCTTACTTTTGTGGCATGAATACTGAGGGTATATGTTTGTACTTTCAACATTGATCAGCAAGCTCTTTTACTCAATAGGGATTTTTCAACAATTACATTTGTACAAGCAAGAATTAGGTTTTAAATACAAAATTCAGGAAAATCACTGTTTGTTTAGATGTTGCTAGTGTACACTTTTATTTATTTTATCACTGATCTTGCTTTTTACACGCAAATTTGTTTGTCCTTTAAAAAGTGTGTGACTTTTAGAAACATGGTTTGCCCTGCAATTTTTTTTCTTCCAAATATTACTAGGTATCAGAAAGACGTAAGAGCTCAAACACCGATTTGGTGATAGTACATTTCTGTATTATTTGTGTTTAGAGTTTTAAATTACACAAGGAAATCACAGCTTTAATGAACATATAGAAAACAGCAATTCCTCGGATACTGTGCAAATTAAGATACATCTTGTATGATGCTAACTTTACAACGACATTCATATTTTACAGCATTGATTTTTCAATTACCCAAATTCGAGGTACCCTTGAGTCCATCTAAAAGAAATATTAGAATATTGCTTTGCATTTAAACATCATACAGACATGGAGCTCATAATGTAATACAACAGACTAGTGGTGCTACACAGATTATGTACAATTATAGAGCATGCAAGTCTCGCCAGTTCACATTCACTTTTCATGTGAACATCTTGGTACCAAACACTGACTAGTCTAGCCAAGGACTCCCGTGTTTGAATTCACCCAATGAACGGAAGTGGAGGTCAACATTTTTTCAATTTACTATAGTTATCAACTTGCAAATTTTTTTTAATGTGTTGTAAATTGGAATGATTTTGTTCTTGTTCAGAACCCATTCTTTGCCCTTGACTGGATAAACCTAGTAAAATCACCTAGGTTTTTGAGGTCAACTTGAACGCTCTATTGACAGAAGTGGAGTACAAATTGCTGACTTTAACTATCAACTACATTTTTTTCCAGCTAGTAGCTGTGAAGACACCTTTAATACACCAGACCTAAATCCCATACTGTACATCTAAAGCCTACAATGGTCTCATATTAGATCTGTGCTCTGCAACAAAAAAGTCTATACCCTGGATTTCTCCTTGCTAAAGGATGTTTCAAGAAACTTCGAATAAAAAAAACGCATTTTATTTGGTTTTAAAAAAAAGTTATCCACATTGTGCAACATGTATGTACAAAGATTGGTATAAATTTGGAATCAGATGCTCCTAATGCATAACTTGCAACTTTGTTGATCTGTTACTTAGGCTGTGTCTGAAACGGGCTTCTAGAGCTATGGCTACGGCTATTGTCAGATTGTTCAAATGTAATTGTTTTGGGTGAAGACCTAGACAATATAGCTCTAGCCATATCAACTTTTTAAATTTGTTCATTTGTGCATCAGGTCTTGACCCACAAGATAACCATTCCACCAGCACCTCTGACGTACGGTGACTGGTGCTGCCATAACGGATCCTTATCACTATCTGACACAACAGCTTTTCACCTCAGAGATCTTCAAGATTGAGATCCAAAACCTCCCAAGACATTTTGGATTTGCGGTGAGTTTGCTCCCTAAATAGTGAACCCTCAATAACAATAACCATACAGTTTGTGCCTTCTTAGGAGTATGTATGTATTGTGCTCCATGCTTGGGATTTGTCAAGGTTTGTTAATAACAGAATCAAAAGGCTGTAAAATGAATTTCACTAAAACATGAAATATTCTAGCCCTGTGTTTGTATGAAAGTAATGACCACATTTAACGCACACTTTTTTGCCATGCCCGTGCACATGTTCACAATTGTTTCTAATGTTGCTGTGATGTCGATGTAGGTAATTTACACTTCACAGCTTTGGGATTTTCTGTATAATTTATGAACCTAAAATTGATTGCATTGTACATGTGTAAAGGTTTGTACATTTAAGTATCTCATTGGCTGCATGGTATGTGCTAATGAACGCAGCAGTGACATCAAACTTGATCAAAACACTTCTGTTAACATTCCTTTCCCCTCAAACAGCAGTGACACTGAAGTTCCAGCTCATGACATCGCTGTATTGCTCATGAATATGGAATATTTTAAAGCCTGAAACATCCAAAGACTTGGAATATAGTTCCTAAAATAAAAACCTATTTACAGTGGAAAAAATTCAGGGTTATCCATATGTTAGTACCATTACTTGTATATTTTCACACTGAAAAAAGTAACAAACTTGCTCATTTAAAGGAAGGGTAGATCATTTGTCATTTGTGCATTTTTTTTTTTTTTTGAAGCAACGAAAGTGCTCAAAATATAAAAACAGGTGCTTAACAACTAACACGATGAAGTTTTAGCTCTGTGAATGCAGTATCTTCTGAGAAAACTATATTCAAGGATCTCAGGTTCAATTCAAAAGTTGCTGAGTCATGTTTTATATTGCATTTGAATTCAGCCCCAGGGACACATTCTCATTCAGTCAATTGCAGCTACGCGATGTCATGCACTGAACTGACGAATAATAGCAACCTAGTGTGCGTGTGCGTCGTGTCAACGCTTGCGCGCACATATTCATGGATTCACCGAATTTACAAACCAACTACATGAACTAACTTGATGCATCGTTGGAAATTGCTTTCTTTCATTGTTTCCTTCAAAATGACAGCATGCCAGAAAGAATGATTTCACAGGGAGTTTAGTGCCATTAAAACCAAAAGCCTTACTTTTTGGATAGCTGTAAATGATCTACTCTACCTTTAAACACGAACAAAAGTTTGATTCAAATAATTAAACTAGTTGGGATTTGTTAATTTCTGAACCTTTTACATACATACATTGCATGAATACCAGCTGTTCCCTTTACTGATAGTTGGTTGCAATCTGCTCTGGGCGGGCCTGCACATTACTGATGTCATGGTGCGTACATGTATTGGCAATTCGCTGAAGTAAAACACATTTCAACTCCAGCATATTGTGTTGTTAATGTTTCTCGATGTCAAATCTACTTAATTGGCATTCCAATGAAGAAGATGTATGAAACGGCCTTAAATCTACTCTACACTTTGAACGCAGCAAGTTCAAAAGCAGCACTCACTCTACACACTGCTGCCCTTAAAGACAGCTTGCACTTATCAGGTACCAGTGAACATTGTTCTTGACAACTTTCCAAAGATTAAATCCCTTCTGGTTCTGGATGTGCATACTGCTGCCCTTGTGCTGATGGCTCGGTGCCAGTCAGCCCAGGACATTGTTCCTGAGTACTTGCAAGTGACTGCTGGCTCTCTGCTGGTTCTGGATGTTCACACTGTTCCCCTTGCATGGATAGCTTGCAGTCAGTCAGACTAGAGCATTGTTCCTGATGAGAACTTGCAAGGGCTGGGGTCCCTGCTGGTTCTGCATGTACCTCAACATGCACTTGAACATGCTGCTGACTGTGCATGGATGCCTTGCTGCTGCTTTGCCTGGAACATTGTTCTTGACAGCTGTCCAGTGACTGCTGACTCGCTGTTTGTTGTGCATGCCCTTGGCTTGGTGGCTTGCTGCTGCTTGGCCTGGCAGCATGGTGCTCTTGGTCATTTTCTGCCTGTGGAATCACACAAAGCTCAATCTGCTTTCCTTGCTGCGATGGTCGGCTGGGATTCCGTCTTGGGCAGCAACGACAGCACAGTTTGAGGAATGAGAAAGCCTTGACTACAGCTTCACGATAGTCAACGTTTGTGGCACTGTAGACCAGGGAATTTATTGAGCTATTGATCAGTTGCAAAATTTCAATGCATATAGTCAGAATATGTATTGTCTCTCCAAGTTCCAGATTGGCAACAATCTCAGCAGGTGAAGTATAATTGGATGACACTACACGTGCATGTATTGCCATAATTGCAGTTGCAACGGTCAGTGAGTTCAGAATGAAGAAAACAGCAGTGTTGATGATAACCATGCAGAGGACCTTGCCTGCTTGCTTGGGACGGTTCGGGAACAGGGCTGATTGCTTGCATACTTTCCATACTACATAGATGTACAAAGCAAGAGTTGCTATCGAAGAGACAATGTTGATAATGGAAAGAATCCAAAAGTAGACTTTATCGGAGACAGCTTCTGTTAATGGTACGAAAATCAGAATCACACCAACAATAATTGTTGGCACCCAAAGTCCTGCTGATATCTTTGCTGCTCGAGATTTAGAGGCCTTTTCTTTGAACGTTATAGGATTGCGCACTGCAGAGAATCTCTCAGCTGCTATGGTAACCACAAAGAAATTAGAAGTAGCGATGAACGTGCATTGGCCACTTGATATTGCATTGTTGACCAACAAGTTGTACTCTGTAGGTGAAGACAGTGCAAATATGAAGTAATTCATAAGGTAGAGGGAGTCAGCCACAGCCAGATTGGATAAGTAGATATTGATGATTGTACGCATGGACTTCACTCGAATGACTGTGAAGAGAAAGACAAAGTTTAAGCAGAGGCCGATTGGTGCAATGATTTCAGCACTTAACCATGTTATTTGTTGAGATCTTTCTCCGCTCATGTAAAAGTTCTCACGATGCTTTTCAACTTCAGTATTCCACCCAGTTGATGGAGTGGAGGTGTTTTGGTAGCCATCACCCATAGTTCATGCACAATGTAGCATTGAGCTCCGTGAGCCACATGTTGTTCAGATGCAGCAAAGAATGTTCTTCTCTATTTCAAGATCACTCCAGATTTATACTTACAGGGATTGTAAGACCTTGAGCAAAGTGGAATTGAAACAGAAAGTTTCTTGTTCTTTTCCTTCTTTTTCCCCAACATTTCTGTCCAATTTTAATGCATGTGACTATCTTGTGGTATCAGTTCCTGTAACCAAAGCAGATGCATGTGAGTCAGTTTCACTACTTGCACTGACATGAAATCTGAGAATTGAATTTGTTTCAGTTTTAATGATTGGCTCCAGATTAAACATGCGTATTGTGTACATGTAATTGTTCTTTTATGCAAGTCGGCCCTTCACAAGGCATAAATGCCACTCAATGTGAGGGCTACCGCACAAGAAGAAAAGACAGAAAAAAAAGAGGATGATAGAAAATGAAGACAATTAAGTTTAGTGTGTATGAGAGATGCATGTTCACATTGTGTTTATACAGGATGATTAAAAAAAAAGTGACCCGCACTCAAGATTTTTTTTTTTACTTAAGCAATCAAATTAGATACACCGAAGAAATATGTCTTAAAAGAGCATGTTCTTACACTCATCTAAAAAAAAACCAATCACTAAATTTGATCGTGCCATCCAAAGTTATGCACGTTTTACTAAAAAGAACCCGTTTGTGTAGCTGTCCAAGGAATGTGATAATATTGAAAGCTAAATGAACTAAGTGAGAATTACAGATTACACAAATGTAAATGAGATTTTAATAACTGAAATCAAGAGAATTTTTACTATCAGGTTGTGTGTTTTGAATATGAGAAGCAAGTTAACTCTCTTTTTTCTTCGAAATATCGATGGTGATTTTTGTATCTCATCCTTTGCAAGTTCTCGTTCATTCATGGAGGTGGGAAAACAATTGATGTTTCATTATCCTCATTGGGAGATGTATTATCAGTTCGCAGCACGGTAATTGATAAGTGGTGGACAGCCAAGTTTTGTGATCGTTTTATTGAAATAGACATGAATTGGGAATAGAGTTTGCAATTTAAGTGAAATTTTCACAGTGAATAGTCAATAAGATGCAGACTTGTATTCGAGTCACAAAACATCGAGTCTAAGTCTGAGTCCCGAGTCCTCCAGGTCAAGTCCGAGTCAGAGAGTCACATACATGTAGGTTGAGTACAAGTCCGAGTCATGAGTCACCTCTTTGTATCAAAAAACGTACATTTTTGGGAATTCAGAGATTCAGAGTCACCTTTGATATAGTATGGAAATACGTACATTTCAGGTGCTGTAAATTTTCATTTTTCCCCACAGCTTTTCTCTAATTTTTTTTCTGGAAATGAGGAGTTCATTTGCAAAAACAAATTTTAAAGGCAATTCAGACAAAACTGGTATTGGCCTAACTTTTGCATTTAAAGTTCAGGCGTTTCAAATATCTTTTTTTAGACTTCTATATACGTGAAAGGTGGCGATTGAAGTTGGACGTAGTGCCAGTTTTCTCCTCTATTTTCTTCCTGCAGAACTTGCATTCTGCACTTGATCTTCCATTGGCATTTCTCTTGAAGTTAAGATATCCAAAATTGACATTTTTTGGAGTGGATGCATGTTACGTTACCGAAACGGGCAGATCAGCAGACTATTCATATCGCGATATCGCGATGCGACAGCAATACACGTGTCAAAGACAGGACGTCTGAAAAGAAAAGTCTGGTACCTCACCCTATCAATCTTGCACCAATGCAGTATTGCATGTTGATGGCGGGGTACAAGTTTCAGTACATTGATTTCTATAAGTCAATATATTGGTAACCGGCCACGGCCACGCATGCACCACATCGA